AATAAGCGACTGTGATTCGCCCATTTCTTATGGCTTAAGGCTTAAAACCCTATTGTAGATCCGGGGTAAGGGGATCCTAAAGACGTCTGTATTATGCGGCGTCTACAATGAGATTTTAAGACGTTAAACTTAAGCTTTAAGCCTTAAGTCTTAAGAAATTGACCAATCACAGTCAAATGTGAGGAGAATAATCGACTATGATTGGACATTTTTTACGGCTTAAGATTTAAAACTTAAGTTTTATGCCTTAAAGTCTCATTGTAGACACCGCTTTAAGAGGACCCTAAAGACGACTAAACACGTATAATTTTTGTATAACGAATACTCTTTTTCTCTTTCACGGATTGGAAAATCTTTTTCCAGGATTAAAGTATACGTATTAATACGTGTTTGTGAAGTGGAGTCTACGCTGAGAATGATCAAAAATTTCGATATCGATATATTTTTTACACTATACTGGGTATTTCAGATCATCAGTATCTTTTATCTTCGCAGGATAAGATCCAATCAAAAAAGTGTTCAGGTAAAAGTTGTAGGGTTTCTAAAAATCCCTTTACTGGCGTTATGAATTTGGCCTTTGGTGACGTCGCGTCGCCAAGGTCAGGTCAAGGTCACATCGATTTTTAAAAATGGAATATCCCATTTTTTTATTGCATATTCTTATAGCACACCTCGAGAGCTTTTTAAAACACTATAATTAAGTTCATTTTCATTAAGTACTTTTTGAGTTATAAGGCTTGAAGGTTACAATCTTCACATCAATGCGGTCAATAAGCTCAATCCTGGACTCCAAAGAGGCAATACGTCTATCTAACACGGTCAGAGACGCAGTGAGAGAAGCCAAGGCAGTCCTGAGGTCGGCAAGGCAGTCCTGAGAGCGGATGACATTTCCGAAACACCCGACGACGGACGCTGCACTGAGCCGACGTGCTCCTGAGACGATTGCCGGAAAGGGCGTGATATCACTAGAGCGTGCGGCGGAACAAGCGTGGTTAGAGACCCTTTACTAGAGACTGATCATTCGGCACACAAATGGCGG